ATGTATAAATTATATCCCTATTAATTTACAGATGGCTTTCATTTATAAATTATTTGCAAGTTTTTCAGTTATTTTCAATTTTTTGAACATTATCTGAGAAACAATTTAACGTGGCTGACAGATGAGTGGGTAAGGCCCTAACTTGGTAGCCTAGCTAGGCCTGTGTCTAGTATATGACGAGGGAGATACTAGGCCCTAGAGAGGCTTCACAGGGTGTCGTAAGCATTTCGAAGTAAGACATTTGTATTAAGAGTTATGCAAGCTTTTTCTTGATTACTTGAAGATGAATGTACGTGATATCAAAACAACTTAGGTGAGAAGAAATTTTATATACTTGCTTACGTCTCAACCTATCCTTTTATTTAATTGCCAATTTTATTAACTTTACATTACTCATTGAATTACATTTTAGACAAAATAGTAATTATCTACCATTAATTTTTAACAGGAATTCACTGAGTCTTTGTTAAATGTAACAAAAAAGTTAATGACTAAAGATGTAATAAATAATTATACCGGGCAGAAAAAAAAGCCTTGGAAACACATTTCACAGACACCATACTTTTCATGTTTCTGACTGGTAAAATTTCATAATCATTAAGGTATCTCTAATGTAATTTCTTGAATGATTTAAAACTTTTTCAGATTCACTCCGTAAAGTTTATAACGGTAATTTACCAGATGACGAAAAAATCAAAGACAGCGATGTCTCTGCAGCAATTAGCTTGGTATTCTCTTATGTGAAGGACTAAAAAGAGGGCTGGGCTGCTAGATTCAAGCCAAATACAAGAAACACAGAAAATACAAACAATAGCAAATAAATTTATTACACTTTTGAAGAGTCCGTTACAATCAGTATTTTTTCTAGTTTCAAAGTTAAAGAAATCTTATTTGATTTAAAGTTTGTCATGTGTTATATTTTAAGTAATTTAACAAACAAAAAATTTAACCTACATTGTTACAACTTGATATAGTAGATCAGAAAAATAAATAAAATGTGTTGTTTAATTCTTTACTTTTGCAATTATCAATTACATCACATACCTCTTTAACCTTGTCATACAAACGTCAACATAGCTGCGGATGCCTCGCTAGGAGCACACGAACGTCTATCTATCCACGATATCTAACCAATGCATACGCCACGATAGGGCCTAACGACGCTAGTGGGGCACCTCATTAGGACCTTGTTTAAGTAACATCAATATAAAAATAAGTCTAAAAAGTATATGCTATTCATTATCTTTATGCCTTAGCTAATTTTGACGTCCAATATCGTAACAAGGTTTATTATTTTTGTTAAAATAATGAGGAACTTATTTCGTTGATCGGAAAACGAGCACACATTGATTAATAAAAAAGTATGTATTTAATAAGAGAAAAGAAATTATACAAAGATTGCCAGGCCCACCACACTTGTATGCACACAACCGCATGCTTCGACGGACAGACGAGATCTGCCTTGCACCCACGTTCAAGCGGCAAGCGTCCGCATGAACCATACAACTGTAAATTACTAGGAATGGCACCCCTAGTCCATCTTATATCTCCCTATATTATATAGTTGTATTGACCAAAGTAAGTATCAGCCCCCCACTACCCCCGCCCCCCTCTCCCACTCATCTTCCCCTCATCTCCCCCTCATTTTACGTAGTTATTTCTTGTTTTACCGTCATTTTTGATCAAATTATATTAAAGTGAGCTCCCCCACGATTCCCCACTCCCCCCTCTCCCCTTCCCCCAATAAAATACTTATTTATCTAATGTTTTACCATCATTAATGTTAAAATATATACGCAATTTAGTGCCTAAGTCGTACCTCGTTCTTAGGGTTTTTTTAAGTCACTGATCATAGGTTTCCCTCTGTCTATTACCTTCCCCTTACTCACTATGTGTCTCTGAAGTACCATTATTTGTTTAACTTGATTGAACTTTTGCATTTCCAATCTCTTTCTGGTCAATGTCTACTTTACCCAAATATAAAATTCTTGATTACTTGAGGACTTTATTAAGTAAAAGACAGAATTCAGAAGGAGGTATAATTCAATAGACAAACACAATTAAGCTTTTAAAACAATAATTCATTCCGTTAGCTTAATTTTGTGACATTTTATGTGTCATTTTAACCCATCTGTTCTTTTAAAACCCTTTCCACATTTTTCACATATTTATCTTTCATGGTTTTTATGCATTAACATACGTCTGTTTTAATGTGACGATCTTCAAAGTTACATATTTTTGAATTACAAAAAAATCTCTAGCTAAACAATATTTTTAATTTCTGATTTATTCTTAGATGCAATTTAAATAAAAATTCTTTTTGTATTCTTACATCTTAATAAAGCAACGTATAATAGTTCGTAAGAGAATAAAGGTTTTTTGATATACAATCCTAAAAAATCGAAACTCTGTTTTTCTGCTTTTTTAATAAATATAGAACATGCTTATACCAAGGAAACTGTTTTCTATAGCAGACAAAAGGTAATGATAATAAGGTGCCAGTATTCAATGTTATTCTAGGAATATACACTTTGCTTTTTTTTCTCCCATAATTATTTTTGCTTCCATATTATACTTAAATAAATTTGTTATTTTTAATCTTGTGCCTCTACAGAGACCGTCTGATATACTTAAAGTTCTTATTAACACTACTATAGCATTTATTTTGAATGTTAATTCGTGTAATGGAAGAACCTCTCTTATATTATTTCAAATTACTATTAGAAAATAAATATTTATGTTAATTTAATTATGTTAAGTTAATCATGCTTCATTAACTCTTTTGTGAGTACGTTGTCTGCTGTTGTAAACTTACTTTCAGCCTGCATTAATAAATACACAAGTAATGTCGTTAATTTGTCTACTCAATCTGTTAGTGGGAAGTTGACGCGTGGAGCACGTAGGGGGGCGTTAGATATATATAATTAGTGTGGGGCATTTTGCTATCCCCCAACATCCCCCCCCATAGACCCTCCACATGGACCCCCTACAGCCCCCCCATAAAAAAGCTGAAACTTGACAGTTTTCATCGCTAATTTAACATTTTTTCACTTTTTCCTTGGACCCCCTACAGCCCCCCACAACCCTCCTCCCACAATTTTACGTGCCCCTCCACAGACCCCCTACAGCCCCCCCACAGGCCCCCCTCACCATTTTTCATACACGATGTCATGTGTACTTGTTAAGTGATGAAACATGAATAAGTGACTTTCAATTTATTACCATAAATATTGCCAATTTATCTATAAAAATCACCAAGTAAAGTCAATAAACTATGTAAAAATCTCTTTCCAGACAATATTTTCTATTCCTGTATTTTTTTGCCTTTCTACTTGAATAAATAAATTGTTTTGATTTGCATCTTGATAAAGCCACATTTAATTGACCATGAGAAAATAAGGGTTTTCTTAAATACAAACCCACATTATCGAAACTTTGAACTTGGGATTTGTTTATTGTCATAGCAAATGCCACAACGATTGGAAATTGTTTACGATACAAAATAAACGGTAATGTTAAGGAGTTTCCTGTGTCGAAAGTTATTCTTGGAATGAAGACTCTATTTCTAATTCTTTCTCCAGTCATTATTTCTCCTTTCATATTACCCTGTAATAATTTTGTGGATTGTAAACGTGTTCCATTACAGAGTCGATCTAATATACTTAAATTTCTCAGTAACATCACTATTGTACCAATTTTTAGATTTAGTTCATGAGGAGGTAATCCTTCATGAATACTGTTCAACATTTCTACCGGAAAATTTAAATAAATATTATCGTCTGATTTTTCACCCCCTTTATAAGTTGCGTTATCTATACTAAAGTAAATTTTAATTTCCCCAGTTAATTGTTTAAAAATTTTATTATTTAAATAAGAGGTGTTCTCGGTATGCGATGTAAGTATAACACTATTCATCGAACAATTGTAGATACTAGAAAATATTTGAAAACATTTATCATTTGAGATCCAATTTTTAGGAATGTTAAAAGTTTTTATTTCCCCTTTCCCAATTCTTCATAATAATTTTTAAAATCCTTCATTGTCAGAACGAATATTAATTTCTAATTTTAAAATTTGGAATGAGTTCCATAAAAATGAAGATTTAATAGTTTGTTCAANGGGAGACACATTTCCAAAGACACCGTACTTTTTGAGTTACTGACTGGTAAAATTTCATAATCATTAAGGTATTTCTAATGTAATTTCTTGAATGATTTAAAACTTTTTCAGATTCACTCCGTAAAGTTTATAACGGTAATTTACCAGATGACGAAAAAATCAAAGACAGCGATGTCTCTGCAGCAATTAGCTTGGTATTCTCTTATGTGAAGGACTAAAAAGAGGGCTGGGCTGCTAGATTCAAGCCAAATACAAGAAACACAGAAAATACAAACGACAGCATATAAATCTAATACTTTCTTTAAGATTTAGTTACAATCAGTATTTTTTCTAGTTTCATAGTTATAGAATTCTTTTCTGATGAGTTTATTATGTGCTACATTTTAAGTAATTTGAAAAAAAAAAAAAATTTATGAGTAACTTGCATTGTTACAACTTGATGTAATAGATCAGAAAAATAAAGAAAATGTGCTGTTTGTTTTTTTACGTTTGCAATTTTCAATTACATCATACACCTATTTAACCTAGACATGCAAACGTCAACATAGCTGAGAATGCCTCGCTAGGATCACACGAACACCTCGTCTATCCACGCTATCTAACCAATGCATACGCCACGATAGGCCCTAACGACGCTAGTGGGGCACCTCATTAGGATCTCACATGCGCCTAGATAAGTTTTCTGCTTGGGGAAGGGTTTCATGAAATTCCCCACACATTTAACTATGTAATATAAGAAGATATATTCACATTTTATGAATTAGGATATTGTTACAATTTATTTTTTTACCATACGAAACGCCAAATTTTGCGACCTTTACAGATAAGTTATGTATACCAACTAAAAGCAAACATTCTTATTCTACTTACATATTATTCAGGTTTGCCTGGAGAACCAGCTCAAGTTTCTCAGCCGATCCTAGTATGCACAGCCCATCTGCACTGGGATCCGGAGTTCTGCGATGTCAAGCTCATCCAGACAATGATGCTGAGCCAGGAGCTGAAAAACATCCTTGAGCAGGCTAGCCAGTCATTCAGGCCCGGCCACAAGCCTGATGCTTCGCAGATCCAGCTCTTACTCTGCGGTGATTTCAACTCATTACCCGATTCGGGTAAGTACCCTTGGTCTCTGATTGGGGGAAGGGAGGGGGTCCAAAAACTTGAGATATCATTTGAATTTTGAGCGACTACACGATTTTTAAATAGTTTTTTAAGTTATATCTGATCTTAGATATGTAAAGTAATATCGTATTAAGCGTCGGCCAAATGCAGAGTATTAATTATACGAAATAATTTTTTGTGAATGGCATCAATTCTTATAATCTAAACATTTATTTAAAAAAAAAGATTGTCTAGTTTGAAAAATGTGTAAAGTGCAGACAGTACATTTATATAATGAAAGGAGTCCATAGAAATATATTTTTATACTTGCATTTTGAAACGGTTAGAGGTACAATAATCTCTTAAGTATAATGTATTTTTATAATTCCAACCAAAATGTCGAGTACCCTTTAAGGCAAAGTAAAAACAATAGACGCACAAATTTACAAAAAATGTTTCATCTTCAACTCAGCAGATGGAGGCAGTGTTAGTGTTGGGTTCATATGTCGTTTGAGAGCGGTCGTTGGCTTAGTGGTTAGCGTACTAGTTTCGGAAATAACACTGTTCGAAGGGTCGCAGGTTCGATTGCGGGTCAGGGTACTCTGATTTTTTTCTGTGAGTTCTCGTAGAAAAAGAATCTGTGATTTCCAAAATGCGGATGCGCAACAGAAAATGATTTTAAGAATAAAAGATAATATATATATGATCTGTATGACAAAATATAATATACTCTACATGACAAAAATGTCCTATGAAATATGTAATTGCGAATTGCACTGCAATATAAATCCATGCACTACTTCGGCTACAAAAAATTTGTACTTGTACATGAATAAAAAGGCTACATGTACTCGTGTTATGGCATAAGATGTACCCACAAAAATTGCCAATGAAAATTAATCAATTTTTTTTCATATTTCATTTTTTTGGGACCAGGGCAGCAGACGACTATATGTACATGCACAACTTGCTTGTGGAGACCTTTCATACACATATGTACACTACTGTTCTGTTCTTCACTAACCAACCGCTAGGTGACTGGCCACTTACATTAACTTTCCCACAAGTGTCCAGATTTCATGTCGGTTAGTATATAAGGGCGTTTAAGATGAGTTCGAGTATCCCCACCGATATAGGTGTGTAAGGCAGGGAGCACCTCATTAGCCTTACTAATGAGTCCTGACATGCTCCCAGGACGAAACTTCAAAATAATTTTTTCTCTCTATTCATGGCATCACTTGATTGCCATATTGGTGACCCCATAAACTTGAACATATTAAAATCTTCACATAGCATCTCCGTATTTTCTACGCCTTGGGTACAGCTCCCCTATTTATTATCCGATTTTCGACTACCACTGGTCTCAGACGTCTTCTGGGTCACGGCACACTGGCAACTTATTTCGCTTCTTGGACTCGGCCACTGGTCTTGGAAATCACATTATTTCAGCTCGAGCATCTGCTCGCCTCTCTCTAGGATTCTCACAAGAGCGTGGAAGTTTCGGAGATCTTCTACTGTATCGGCCATCGGCTTCTTATCTCTCTCTCATCTTTTCCTTCTACTCACACCACTATACATTCTGCGCACTTTTTACATATCGTCGTTACTCCTTCATCCAACATCGTAACTGGAGAGGGAGTGTGTGGGGACCTTTCATACCTACATGTAAACTACTACTCCGCTCTTTACTAACCAACCGCTAGGTGAAAGGCCGTTTAAATTAATTTTCCGGCAAGTGTCCAGATTTTATGTCGGTTAGTATATAAAGGTGTTTAAGATGAGCTTGATTATTCCCACTGATATAGGTGTCTAAGGCAAGGAGCACGTAATCAGCTTTACTGATGACTCCTGGCGTTCTCCCGGGATGAAACATCAAAACAATCTTTTCACTCTCTCAGGACATCATCACTTGATTGCCTTATGCCATATTAGTGCCATGTCTTGAGAAGCGATGTGCAATTTTTCCATATTTTTAAACAGTTTTATTACATTTGTGGGAAGTATTGTTCTGCACAGCCAAAGCTGTGCTTCCACAAGAAAAGGAGCACGAGGGAAAGTAAGCACTCACGACGGATTTTATTATAAGAATACAAAATGGCTTTTATTCGTTATGTACAGTAGGACTTTTGCTCTGCTCACGTCGAGAGCTATAAGTAGAAGAATAAGTGTATAGCGCCGCGCGACTCTTCTCCCTCAGCTGTAGCGCACCGGCAGTGTGTGCTTGAGTTGGCTCGCGCGTGCGCAGGAGAAGATGTTCCTTGGGACGATGATCTGCTTTCGTCTTGAGCACGAAGCTGGCCGCTGTGGCTGAGACGCCACATCCACTCCCTCCCCAGTGACCGGCGTAAGAGCCGGGAACGAGACATGGCGAGTTGTTGAAGACTAGGCGGCTTGGGCAGTTGGGGTAGACGTGGGTTGCGGCGAGGGCTGATCAGCGGCGCTGGGCGCTTCCGGCTGAGCAGCGGTGTTAGGTGCAGGCGGCATGGGTTGCGGTGGCGGCTGAGCAGCTGTGCTTGGCGCTGTAGGCTGCTCGAGGACGGAGTCAGCTTGCTCCATGTATGATTTAGCGAAACCACTGCGAAGCATTTCCTATGTTGTAGCTTTGGTAAGGGCCTCACCTGATGTATCCACGTGACGCTGAATGGTAACGCCGCGAGTCCCAATAGTGAAGGGACTCGCAATGGCGGCGAAATCAGGATTAGCTTTACCTAGTTTAAAGTGATGTTGCAAGAATTGATTGACTAAAGGTAAAGTGAAGTGGTTATCCCTGAACGAGCTGGCTTGGGAGCAAGCGTCCTCGCTTCAGAATCCTCAGGGGGCAGTCATCAAAAATGACGGCACGGGTGTGGCAAGCCCGAGTGACCCCAAGACAGGGAAAATGAGCGCCGTTTTCTCTCAATGACGGTAATCAAATCTCATGCTTCAACGACTTCAGCTAAGGCGCGAGTGGAAGCATGTTGCATGAAAGGAGACCTGGAATCGGAAATTGACCACCTGGTTGAGAGACTAAGGCTCTTTAATCTTTTTTAGAAAAACGAAGCGCATGAAAAAAACTGCTATTGGGGGCAGTGGGTTGTTCTGGTCAAGCACCAGATACTTCGCGCAACTCTTGCTTTCATGAGAACAGATGCACAAAAAAATCTGCTAGTGATTACAAGCAGGAGCGAAAGGCAAATAAGTGTGAAAAAGCGCAAGGAACAACTGACTGACTCTCGCATGGACCCCAACGAGAGTAGCAGTGCCCTTTGCAAGATTACAAAGAAAATGACCCTACTGAGGACAAATAAGGACCACGGTCCAATTGCGATCGGAGTTGGGCTTGTCTCAGCTCAAGACCTGAAGCGCAGAAGTGCCAGGCAAAGGCATGTGTCGCCTTAAGTACACCACGGCCACTCGAGTTACTTCGTTAAGATCGTGAACTGAAAAACGGACGATACGGAAAGCCTTTCTCTACTGAGATTGGGTGACCTGAAAATGAGTCCGAAGTAAGGGATCGGACACGGGGTAAAACTTGACTAGCAGGCTGAGTGCCAAAATTTTGAAAGCTCGATGAATGGACGTGTAACGTTCTCGTTCATCAAAAAAATGTCAAAGACCGACTTGAAATGAGGTGGTTGAATTAAATAACGCAAGCACTCAGGCGCTCACTGGCCATGGAAATTTCAAAGCAAACCTGTATTGGTTTAGCTTAACGGACAGTGTTGCCTGCGCTTTGTGGGGCAAAGGATACCTCTGACCATAAACTTACGAGCTGCTCCAGAACGCATGTAAATTGAAAGCAATTTATGCGAAAGGTAAAACTCGATAAGAGGCCAGGGTATAACGAATACCTCGTGTCAAGTCAAGAAATCTTCGCCGCTTTCTTGGAGCTTTGCAAATCTTTTATGAAGAATGCAAACTCTGCGTGAGTGGAGAGAGAAAAGCAATCCAAAAAAAAACTATCGAAAGACGAGTATGAGAGACCAAGAAAAATTGACCTTAGGGATTTGCGCCCCTACTCATTCATGGCAGACGACGCGACTCCGGGCGGGAGCCGGCGGACACGCCGCCTCGAGGTGTCCCCGTGGATGCGGTCATCGTCAAAGCTGTCTGCGAACGGTTAGATCTGGAATGACTAATCAAGAGTCGGGGCAGCTGATGAGCGTAACGAAAGTGTCTGTCCCGGACTCCAGCTGTATCGATCATATAGAGACTCGATAAGATTTACCTTCGGGTCTCCTTGGAGATGCAGCTGGTAGGAACCAACGGGCGTCTAGATCTTTCCGAAGTCAGACCCAAGCGGGTCTCGTGAGATTGTGGATGGGTAGTCTTTCAGATTCTCTGAGTACCTCTCAAGAGACTGCAAACCCCAATTGGTGGTGATCAGTTGGAAAAAGGGAGCAGCGCCAGCCGGATTCGGAGAACAACGCTGTGCACTACTTCGTGCGTCGCTAATCCTTCTGCTCCATGTATGCCGGCTTGAGCGTGTCCGTGGACACCACCTCTTCTTTACCGTTGATGTCGAGGACGTAGTTGCGCTCATCGAGACGGCGAACAATGCGATGTGGGCCGGTATAGGGTGGTTCCAGCGGTTTTCGGATTCTGTCGACATGCTTGAACATATGCAAGCAGGTTGACAGATCTTTGAAGCAGAACGGGTGCTGGGCCGAGTGATTCGAGGCAGGCACTGGTCTGATGGCTCTGAGTTGACGCAAGCTTCGCGCAAACGTAGATTGGTTGGCCTGGACTGACTCGGTGGTGAAGAACTCCCCTGGAATTCTGGGTGAGAATCCGAGGAGTATTTCCGCTGGAGAGGCTTGCAAGTCCTCTTTGTATGCTGTGCGGAGTCCCAGGAGCACAGTTAGGAGGCAGTCTAGCCAAGACTGCGGGCAGCAGCGCAGGGTTGCTTTGAGGGTCCTGTGGAATCTCTCCACCATGCCATTGGACTGCGGGTGATACGAGGTTGTGTGGCACAGCTTTGTGCCGATTACCTGCGCCAGTTCCTTGAAGAGGCTCGACTCAAATTGGGCACCACGGTCTGAGGTGATGAGGAGCGGGGTTTCGACGAAATTGATCCAGTGATCGAAAAAGGCTTTGGCGATGGTGGGTTCCTGGATGTTGGACAGCGGGATCGCTTGTGGCCAGCGAGTAAACCGATCAATGATCGTAAGGCAGTACTGCATGCCTGCGACTAGGGAAATCTTGATGATGTCAATGTGGACATGTTCCAGGCGGTTGTCGGGCTCGGTGAATCTGCCTAGCGCTGATCGGTTGTGGTGACTAATTTTGGAGCGCTGGCAGGCTTCGCAAGTTTTAGCCCAGGCTAAGGCGTTTTTGCGCACTCCTGGCTAGACAAACTTCTGACTCAGGATGCGGGCCGTGGTTTTGCCGCTGGGGTGTGAGAGAGCATGCACAACGTCGAAGGCTGTGCGCCGGAGAGACGCCGGTAGGTACGGCCGCACCACGCCTTGCGTGATGTCTCCATAGACGTAGTGGCCCTCAATTTTGAGCTGCTGGAGCACCAGGTTGTTCGATGGGTTGCCTAGCAGGTCGAGGAGCTCTGCATCGTGCGCCTGCTCTTGTGCGATGACGGCTGAGGATCGAGGGTATTGTGACGGTGGCGACTGGTGTCTGTAGCTGAGTCATTGAGGCGACGTCGGTGGTCGCTACTTCGATTGGTTTCGCAGCTGGTATTGAAGCTTCGAGGAGCGGTGTCTTGGGGTCGTCTTGCGGCCAGGAGAGAGCATCAGCCACGACATTGTCTTCACCTTTAGCGTAGACCAAGCGTGAGTTAAAGCTGAGCATATATTCAAGATAGCGCGCTTATCTAGGCGAAGCCTTGGTTGCTGGTTGAAAGGCAGCGAAGGTGATAGGCCGGTGATCCATGAAGATGGTGAATAGGCGGCCCTCTAGTATCCTCTCGAAATGCTACAGAGGCGTAGATTACTAGGAGCTCTCTGTCGTACGTGCTGTACCTGGCCTGCGTGGAGTCTAGCTTGTGTGAGAAGAATCCCAGAGGGTGCCACGACTCATCTGGTTGAAACTGCTCCAAAGCCGCCTCGATGGCTGTGCTCGAGGCATCCGTGCGGAGGGCGCCAAGGGGGCGTCTGTGGCCAGAAACGTTGTGCAAGCGGCGTCAATGACGCTGGCTTTACATTTGTCGAACGCCTGGGATGCTGGTGTGGTCCACTTAAGCTTAGCTTTTTCGGGCGGGCCCTTGAGCAGCTCGTTGAGAGGCGCCTCCAGTTCCGCGGCGTGGGGAACACATCTGCGGTAGTAATTTATTACCCCCAGGAACCGTTGAAGTTCGGACGCTGTGGTTGGCTTGGGAAAAACTTTGATGGCTTCTACCTCCGCTGTTGGTGGCCGGCAACCTTCTGACGAAACCTGGAAGCCCAGATAGATGACCTGAGGTTTGTCGAATGTGCATTTCGCCAGGTTTACCTTGAAGCCTGCCTGCTTCAAGACGTTGAACAGCTGGCGGAGATGCTGAAGGTGCTCCTCGTGCGTCTGTGACGCGATGAGGATGTCGTCGATGAAGGCCTTAACGAAGGGAAGCTTGCGCAGCAGATGGTCCATCGTGCGCTGCATGGTTTGCGCGGCGTTTCTGAGGCCGAGTGATGTGCCGAGGAACTCGAAAAGGCCGAAGGGTGTCGTGACGGCTGTCTCCTTTACGTCTCCGCTGGCGATGGGCACCTGGTAAAAAGCTTTGTATAGGTCGATGACCGTAAAAACCTGACCTTGGCTCTCTTGTAGCATGTCTTCGATGATCGGGAGGGGGTACTTGTCTGGTACTGTTATACTGTTGAGGCGGCGATAGTCGCCGGTGACGTGCCAGGAGTTGTTGGCCTCGGACACGAGGTGCAGTGGACTAGCCCCTGGCTGCTGGACGGCCTGACGACCCCTTGATCTTGGAGCTCGGCGATAGCAGCTTTGGCCGCTGCTATTCGCTCACCGATGAGGCGTTGGGGGCGCTCGAAGACTGGTTGGCCGCAGGTGATAATCCGATGTTGGACTGGAGGCAGTTGATAACCGCTGGTGCGCTGTTGCATGCGAAGACGTCTGCAAATTCGTGCAGCAAAGACGAGTAGAGGCTGGCAACGTCAGGGTCGTCTGGTCCCAGTTGCTCGATTGTCGCAATAGAGTGCAGGTTAGAGTCACACAGGATGCCCTGGACAGCCAAACCTGTGAGGTCGATGAGCCGCTTGTGTTTGAGGTCTGGGAGCAGACCGTGTTCTGCCAGGAAGTCGGCTCCGATGATAGCCTGGGCGACGTCGGCGATTGAAAGTCTCCCATTGAAAGTCTCGACGTAGGCCCAGGTTGAGGTTGATCTTCCAGCTGCCGTAGGTGTGTATGGGCGAGTGGTTGGCCGCATACAGGGTCAATGCCTCCCGTTGGGCCTGGTTGAAATTTGGCGGGCGGGGCAGGATTGACACTACGGATCCGGAGTCGAGTAGGAAGTCGATCTTGAGGTGGTGGTCCCTGATGAGCAGACGGGTTTCCCCTATGGGTAGGGTGACCTCCACCGTCTGCGTCGGAGGCAGCCCTAGGCGTTTTCCGTTGGTTGGGTGGTTTGTACCACGAAGGTGCAGGACTTCTTGCAGGAGTAGGCGTCTCTGGCATCTCCGTTGCCCTTGTTGTTTTTGAGCAGTTCGAGCAGTTGTTTGTTGGTTGTAGAGAGCTGCGTGATCATCGCCTTGAGCGCGGCGATTTCCTGGAGCAGTATCTCGTTGTGCAGTTGGTGTGGCGGGACAGGCGAGGCGTATCCTGAGGAGACAGGCAAGACACCTGCGAAGGTGTGATTTGTTCGCAAGAACGAAGAGTTGCAGACAAGTTCATCTGCGGCCTGTAGTAGCTCGTCAAGTGACGTGGATTTAAAGATGCGCAAGAAAAGTTGCGCCTCTGCAGGTAGCAGATCCAGCCACTTGACCCTCAAGTTGTCGTCTATGAGGCTGTTGCCAGCGAGGCTTTTCATCTCGCGGTACAGCTGTGAGGGCTTCTTGTTGCCCACTGACAGTCTGGAGAACAGCTTGTGCAGTTGTTGGTCCTTGGAGTCAGAGAACCTCGCAAGGACGTGTTTCTTAAGGTTTTCGTACCTGTTTTCTGCTGGTGGTGCTGTGAGGATGTCCGACAGCCCGTCGACGATGATTGGCCCCAACACTTTGACGACCTGAGCGTACTTCACATCTTCGGAGGTGGTGTTGTTGTTCGCGAAGATGAGCTCGGCCTGCGTGAACCATGTGGCAGGGTGTTTAGGCTAAAACGGAAGTAGTTCCATGGTGGTCATGAGTCCAGCGCTGGAGTTGGCACGGGAGTCTAAAAGGACCGGGCTGGGCGCGAGCGGGTCGCTGTGTGTAATGTTGTCGTTAGCCGGAACGTGGTCGACGGCAACGGCGGCTGCGTGACGCTTTTTGTCTTCGTGTACGTCCAGGGATGACTCAGGAGAGTCGCTTGACCTGTCGGCCGCCGCGGCAGCGAGGGCAACGGCAGCGTACGCGTCCGGGTAGAGGTCGGCGAAAAGCCTGCTTCGCAACCCGTCTCGTGGCTCACGCGCGTCAGCCGGGCGCGTTGGAGTGGTGTCTGCTAGCGCTTGCCTGGAGCGGGGGACTGGCAGCAGATTAAAATCTTATAAGGCGGTGCTGTCGTTGGCAGGAAAGGGCTGCAGGTGGAACCCCAGCAGCAGTGGATCGACAGGAGACGTCTACTCGACTGTCGCTTCCGTGTCCTGCCACGTATTGTTAATGAAGTGCGAGGTTGGATGCCACCCAACTCTTGTAATGGCGGCGAGGTGGGCACAGGGGGACACACGCGGGCACCTAACGTTGCAGCCCGTGTAACGACGTTAGGCTCTGCGCGTGGTCGTAACTCGGCTCCAGGGCGGGGCCGTCCCCTTTGCACTGGCCCTGCTACCCGAGACGTTGGCACTGGCGAGCGCCGGCCTCTCGACGGCAGGACGTAGCCTTTTGGCGACGACGTCTTGTCCACGTGGCGAGCGGGAGAGCGTTAAAAGATGCCGGTGCGCAAAGAATTTATCCTCGCCTCGGCTCAATTTTTTATCGCGAACTTGCACTGACGATAAATAAAACAGTTCGAGGGGTCACCACTTGTGGGAAGTATTGTTCTGCACAGCCAAAGCTGTTCTTCCACGAAAAGGAGCACGAGGGAAAATATTGCACATGCGACAGATTTTATTATAAGAATACAAAATGGCTTTTACTCGTTATGTACAGTAGGACTTTTGCTCTGCTCACGTCGAGAGCTATAAGTAGAAAAATAACTGTATAGCGCCGCGCGACTCTTCTCCCTCAGCTGTAGCGCACCGGCAGTGTGTGCGTGAGTTGGCTCGCGCGTGCGCAGGAAAAGATGTTCCTTGGGATGATGGTCTGCTTTCGTCTTGAGCACGAAGCTGGTCGCTGTGGATGAGACGCCACACATTTACCTGTGAACTTTTAACATGGACAAATGTCAGTACGTAAGAATACTTATCTGTGCATTAGTGTTCTTTCTTTTAAAACATGTCGTCTCTGCAGTATGTGTACACTATCTTTGTTGATTTTAAGCTTATTTTACTATACGTTTTGACTCATATTATTGTTAGTTTCGTGAAATTATGTATGTTAGTTGTATCTTTTCATAGTGTTGTTTGAACAAATTTTTTTCAATAGTAAAATTTAACTACCAATTTTTTGACAAAATTGAAATAAAATATTCTATAAACACAAATTTAATTTAATGATGTTCTTATAATCGTTTAAAATTCAAATGCTTCTTAGTACTTTTGGACCTTCTCTGATTTTTTATTGTTGATGAAATTATTGACTGTCAATAATTTTTAACTTACGTATTCTTGTAGGCGTAATCGAATTTCTTACCTCGGGCAAAGTGTCGGCCAGTCATCGGGATTTCAAGGACCTGGCTTACAAGTCATGCCTTCAGAAGATCGCGTTCTGTGAAAAGTCCAACGAGTTTCTGCATCCGTTCAAGCTTGCTTCGGCCTACAGTGAGGATATTATGCCCTACACTAATTACACGTAAGTACATTAGTTGCTGAAATTCAAACGAAATTTTCAGTGTTGGCACCGACGAACTGAGTGTTGTGTATTGATTTTTATTTTCACAGGTTTGACTTCAAAGGCATAATCGACTACATTTTTTATTCCAAGCAAACTATGATACCTTTAGGTCTGTTAGGGCCGTTGAGTTCCGATTGGTTTAGAGATCATAAAGTCGTTGGGTGTCCGCATCCTCACGTACCTTCTGGTAAGTTCGATAAAAATACATAAATTTTTTTTATTGAATAACACATGCCTACAAAAAAAAAGTTTCTGAACTGGGCATGTGAGACATGTTTTCTTACGTATTTTTTGGTGTTGAATCCGAATCCAAAATCAGAATAGGAGGTCTCGCAGGAAAATTTTGATTAAACCGCTGTTTAAAGTTAAAAAATTCAGAAAATCAGTCTAAAACATTTCATCCATCATGTTCAAACGCTTAATGTGCAAGGATCGTTAATATCTTATTTTTCAATGTACAAAAGGAACAGACTTCAAGTATTTCGACCAAACGATTTTTAAAAAAATTAAGAATTCCGATGACCCCAATTCCTCAGTTGGCTGTAAGCTTATGCCTCAATTTACTTCATTCAATTTTTCGATCGCTAACGTATATTTTTATCCTCGAAAGATCTGCGTAGGGGATTTCTCTTACACTTTTCACTTTTCTTCTCATTCGTTTCCCTTTTTAATCTCCAGCAAAAATCAGCCATCATATTAATATCTCACCATCATTGATAACATCTCTCCATCTCTTTAATATTCTGATAAAATCGTTCACCTCGCTCTTCGCTAAAATCTCCAAGATTTTTTGGGAAAGAGTCCAGGTGAGAGTCAAGAAAATGTAGTTTGAGATTCATGAGACATCCTAATTCTTGGAAACTCTTTATCATGTTCTTCACAATTTTTTGATATTGTTCACTCTTGGTGTTTTCAAAGAAATTTTTCACGGCGCCTTTGAAACCAAGCCATGCTGCTTTTTCAGTAGCGGTCACAGTAGTCGCAAAAGTTTCATCTCTCTATAAAGCACGGGTCTGTGGTCCATCAAATATATCTTGTTGGACTTAAGCATCTGACAACTTAGGGAAGGCATGCTTGATATATCCGAAGCATTGCCCTTCCTTGTCTAGAACCATTGGAAACACCAAGAGTGAACAATATCAAAAAATTGTGAAGAACAGATAGAGAGTTTCCGAGAATTAGGATGTCTCATGAATCTCAAACTACATTTCCTTGACTCTCACCTGGACTCTTTCCCAAAAAATCTTGGAGATTTTAGCGAAGAGCAAGGTGAACGATTTCATCAGCATATTAAAGAGATGGAGATACGTTATCAAGGATGGTGATAGTTAATATGATGGCTGACTTTTGCTGGAGATTAAAAAGGGAAACGAATGAGAAGAAAAGTAAAAAATGTAAGAGAAATCCCCTACGCAGATCTTTCCCTAAAAAGATACGTAAACGATCGAAAAATTAAAAGAAATATATTGAGGCATAAGCTTACAGCCAACTGAGGAATTGGGGTCATCGGAATTCTTAATTTTTTTTTAAATCGTTTGGTCGAAATACTTGAAGTCTGTTCTTTTTGTACATCTTACTAATATATAAAGCAAAGTCGCTAAAACCGTTGTAATCGCTAACCGCGAAAACTACTGAACCAATTTTTCTGAAATTTTGCACACTAATTCATGATACTTCCCAGATGGTTTGAGTATAGTTTTTATCTTAAAAAATTTAATAACAATAGCAATAAATGAGCTCGAAGTTTTGCAAAAATACGCCAGCTTTTCACTTTAGTTCAGTAAAGTCCGCTAGGTGGCGTCGACATAAAATCGAGATTACCTGCAACAGAATTAAATAAGTGTGGTTATAATACGCCGGAGCGTCTCGATAGTGATGCGACGTGCTTCGGCAGGTCAACGAGCTGCATAGAGAATGTTGATGATAGTCTTGCAACTGGATATCCCGGTTACGGACGACACCCTTCTGTAAGGGGAAAGGGACCTAGGTTTCCATTCACCCTGAATCTCGACGAGTGCGATCAAAAAAAAATTCATTTCAACCGATGACGTCTCTGGCATAATACCAGGAGACATATCTAGCCAGAGCACTTTCTGCACCAACTCTTCAGAGTTGTGTGGCAGTCCCACCATCCCAGATGGTGCAGTCAGAGAATTTTTGGCTACAAATGTAAGACAGGTAAAACAGCTCTGAGGGGCACGGGCAGCCACAACGGCTACCTTCTTAGTTGTCGCGTCCCCAACGCGCTTACCCACATGTTCCCGTCTAACGATGAGCGGTTGGTTATCCGGAGAACGACCCGAAGACGAGATATTCTTTGGTCAGCGGCGTATCTTCCTCCATCACAGTCTCCGTACATCGAGACTCCCAGGGCAAGAATCAAACTACCCGTAGCCAGCTCTTTATCATCAGGAATAATAATAAAGAACAGCCTGGAAGTTTCACCACTGGCGCTTTTTAGGGCCATTATAAGTATTTACGTTCCCTACTTAACCATCAATTTCATCGGTTCTTTTTAAGGGCCACCTAAGTGTAAACTACCTTGCCAACAAACAAATTTTTACTATCATTTCCGGATGTGATTCGTCGACTAAAAGACTATATTAACTAAAGACGGGCACTATTAAACCAAGTCAGCCATTCACTAGCAGACGTCACCTGCGGAATTGCTCTTCGCAAAACTGGAAAACCCGGTGACCGACGACCCTATATTACCCTCTCGACTCTAAGCATTCAGCCAGGAATCACTTATCCTCTCCAAGGTCTGCGGTGGACCAACCTATAACAGCTATGAAGAAAAAAAAACTTGAGCCAACGGGACAGCCTCCACTGGACAAGTATCACTAACCAATCTCCCTATCTAAGATCACCAAAAGAACTGAATCTGCAAATAAAAAAGGTGCTTTAGACACCAACGTCTTCGACGTTATACCGGGAGACATTGGGAAAAAGCACTACAACTAGCCCCAAAGCTTCGGACTTTGTAATTTTTCTCCCGATCAGTTTGGGTTTTCAACAGAAGGTATCCAGGCAGTCACAATTGCTGTTAACTGCAGTCAAGAAACAGTTAACTTAAGAAGCTCACCGGTCTTTTTTAGGGCCATCGGACGTCGAACTACCTTGCCAACAAATATATTAGAACTTAACAAAGTTGACAGAAAACAGCCTTTAGGGGTCAAAAAAATTTTAAGCATGCTAAAAGTTGCAAGAGGTTTAATTGGAAGAAAAACTTCAAATGTATCTAATAAATACAATTTTACTTAGGCGTCAAGAAACTGACGCAGAAAATTTATCGAGATTGGAACAGCAGCGTCAAAATCGACAAACAAAGAATCCATAACGTGACAGATCAGCTTTTCATTGTACCCTCACAGCAATCTCTGAAATCTTTAAAGATCCTACTTCAGATTTTTAAATAAGTAGAAAATGTATTTGTGTTTTTGTGGCAATACAAATGTATGGTATAAGGTCCAGGACTTTGTTGCTTTGGTAATAAAGTTGTGAGATATGAGAAAAAAAATTTTTTTTTAATATAAATTTTTTGGGAGTTTAAAATCTTAACAGCTTAAAAAAACAGCCCTTTTCGTGAATTACACGGGAGAAACTATAAATCAACGGCTCCTTATGGCCACCGATTATTTTATGGCATAAAGATCGCACGGTACTTTTCAGCATAATTATTTTTTTGAATTTTTGCACCTTATTATTTGACCAAATAAACCATATGGATTCCGAAAAAATTTGTTTTTAATAAGAAGATTTTTGTTCCGAGATGTGTCAGGAATATGTGTAAAATTTCTAACTGAAAACGTTTCACATTACATGTCAACACACTACGGTGTTTTATTTAGTAAGTCTCGGGCGAAGCCGAGACGGGGGGCTGCTAGTTGAAAAGTAAGATATTAATGATCCTTGCACATTAAGCGTTTGAACATGATGGATAAAATGTTTAAGACTGATTTTCTGAATTTTCTAACTTTAAACAGCGGTTTAATCAAAATTTTCCCGCGAGACTCCCCATTCTGACTTCTGATTCGAATTCAACACCAAAAAATACGTGTATGTACCAAGAAAACATGTGTCACATGCCCAATTCAGAAACTTTTTTTTTGGTTGGCCTGTGTAATCCTTTTAAATTTATTAGTGTTTCATTACAGGGGCCTAAGAATTGAGGATAAATAAAAATGGTTATACTGTAAACTTTTGATCTTGCCGTCGTTATGTTCGTTTTATAAATACGATAAAAAAGAAAGATGTTAATTTATTTTTGACTGATTCTAATCAAAAACAGTTGACTTAATGGGCGTTATAGATTCATTCAATAAAGTTCGAAAATACTAAATTTTAATTCACTAGCAACAAAATGTCATTAATTTACTACGTTTAGTTGAATGTTTTTTGGCATTTACATGAGACGTAGTAACTTCACTACCGTAATTTGAAATAATATTTAACACGTAATGATCTTCCATATCGTCATACGACAGCAATAAGTAATAAAGTCGAGAGTAAAGTTCCATATAAGAGTATCAATTCTCAATTCATCAATTTTAAATGATTCAAAAAAATTTGAAATCTTTTTTTAGATCACTTTCCACTACTGGTTGAACTAGAGATGCAGCCGACAGTTGGTACGAGCAACGGTATGATCTCCCGAAGGTAGCAGATACTACGCCATAGAGCCAAGTAATGCGAAATGACGAACAAGAAAGAAGAAGAGTGAGCAACATCAAGAATCGTAAAAAAAATTTTTAGCAACATCACCAATCGCGAGAATAGGTTAAAAGGATTGACGAGATTAAAGGAAGGCCGTAAGGAGTGACTTCGGTCGCAAAAAATGCGTGCGACTTATAATTATAATAAAATCGTAATGCCTGAGCGGTTCCCGCTAGATAATGATTATGAGTAAGAAATTAACAAGAGGACGAGTTTTTCAGCGAGAAGTCTTTTCAAAGCCTAGTTTGGTGAAATTTCACGTGACTGTTAAAGCCGATAATATAAAAGGGGCTCCGTAGGACGATTGCCTCGTAGGGTGGAGACTGAAAAGATTTTTTTCTCTATGTATTGTTTGACGAGCAGTGTCTCCACTCCGATAAACGTAACAAACACATGTACACTCATCACCAGAGGCTTTCGTAGAATAAGTAATTTAATCGAAAAGCGAATAATTGTGTCTGTCGGGATGATTGCGGTCGAGCGATGCATCCGTACAATTATTTGAAACAACATGGAGCTGGCGACTCCTGCGAGTGTACAGTGCCGATAGAGATCAGCAGCGTAAGCAGCAGGTGAATTCTAGTGTACCGAGACATCGACGACAATTAAAAAACAAAGTAAAATAATGCGGTAAGGGATGCTCGCTTTCAGTTCGATTTTAGTACTGTCATCGAATCGATGAAGCGGGCCATTTCGTACGTTAATTAAGAAATTTGGAATAAAATTAAAAAAAAAAATAAAAATAATAATAATAATAAATCATGAACTAGTGGTGATAGGGAAAGAGAAGTAGAAAAAAATGCGAGAGAGATTAGATTACATGTTATATTACTCCATGTTTAGCCCATGTACAGCGGATTTTATTTATTTTATTCTTTTTGTTTGTTTTATTTTTTATACTCAACGCTGAATGGTGTAAAGCTCTGGATGCGATCATAGGAGTAAAAAAAATTCCTAGATATGTATGTACTTCAGTAGGCCCTTAAAGCTCCTCCTCTCATCCTACGTGTCCTGTACTCCTTGACTACATATACCTGAATTCACATATAACTGTGGGATTACACTGCGTAGCTGTAGATGAACGTCTATTTTCCTACGAGAGCCCGACGATGAAAGTCGTACACATGAACTGGAGACGACGACTGATAAGAGAAGCTAATAATATTCCGATCAAACCTCTGTGATATGTATTATCAGAAAGATTCGGATGCGCTTTTATTCCATAAGAGGGAGAGATGATGTGTGCGTGTGCTTTTTTCCGTCGTGTTAACAGGACATACATGTTATGAGAAGTAATTTATACTCTTGTATGTCACAAGAGTCTGACCAAGAGAAACAGTTTTAGCCCTGTGATAAAGTACGATTATTCCGAGCGATATTTTTTGTTTTTACATGAAACGCGTTGCCATCCAGTTAAGAATAATTATAATGCAGAACCACAAAGAAAAAAAAAAAAACTGGAAAAATACAATGAGCGATAAAAAGGAGAACAAAATGTATTTATTGGTGTTCAGTTTTTCTGTTGTTTTTTTGTTTTTCTCTTTTTCAAGAATACATTAACGTGCTACACTGGGCTGTGTTGTATAACTGGAATTGGACTTAAGAAAATAATGTCTAATGCAAGTACAAAAAACGTTCTTATTGGCCACGTGTATTCTGATAAACAACCAATGTTATATTATATGACAACTGTAAGGCTGTAGATGAATTAAATAGGTAGCAACAGTGTAATTTATAAGTGAAAATTGTTAATGACTGTCCGCGCGTGCATTTTATTCACATAACAACACTCATCCCCCCCCTACGTACACACAAATCATGCATATATATTCAATGTAAAAATGGCTCTGTGCGTTGTCGCCTGGAAATCGATCAGGCAAATCTATTCCTTTTCCAATCACCGTAGGCATGTACACAAGTGACTTTTTAATCTCGATTGTTTTGTGCAGACATAATTTAGGTGTTGCATTTTGTCGCGCTCTCGGCTGTTTGTTACGTGCGAATTTGTGCAATTATGGAACCATTTGCGGAGAAAGTACTTGTAAAACAGTCGGAGATATTTCTAAAAGTAATTTTTTTTTTTTTTGAAAGTGAATCGATGCATATACTTTATAGATTTTAAATAATTTAGTGGTGTTGGATGACTTGTAGAAAGATTTTTAGATCTGTATTTCTGTAATTACATCTTAAGTAAACTTGTACATATTAATTTTCCCACAGTGTCTATAGCTTGCTCAGTAATAATTGACTTTTAACAGATAAAGTTGCATGTCTCCATCAAAATCACGACTTTTTATCTTTGGAAATCCGTTTTTTTGGTAGATTAACTGTAAAAAGCGAAACATTAATTTTCTTACATCAAAAGTACCAATGGCGTTATCTAAATTTTGTGCTTGGAATACTCCAACTATTTGTAATATGCTTTCTTAAATAAAGTCCCAAATGAAATATTAATGATTGCTCGTTACAATCTGTAGAAATTTCAACATTCTTATCTCAAGTCTAAAAATTCCTAGCCAATCTAATATGTAACAATTAGCCCAATTGAAAATAATTACCTAGTTTCGTTACGTATTTGACAACGTTTCAAAAATACGTCATATTAATACGTAGTGGAAATACGTGTTGGTTTGGAACCTTCCGTCACCTAATTTTATCACGTATTTTGCAGTCATGAAGTACTTATATGCTAAAATAGTTTTAAAATATGGTTTCGACGTGCATTAACATGATCGTAATAATAAACCTTCCTGATTTGGTTTTACTATACGGATGATGAAATTATTACGATCATGTTCATGCACGTCGTAATCATATTTTAAAACTATTTTAACATAGAAATACTTCATTACTGCAAAATACGTGACAAAAGCTTTCAAACCAACACGTATTCACTTTGAGCGCAATTCCGAAATCGCGCCCCCACTGGGCACTTTGAGAACGATTGGTCGTCATTAGAAAAGGACAGTACTATGAATTGATTTCCATATACTTGTAGAGAAGCGACATTTAAGGGTTGGTCACCTGGTGAATGGAGCCAGACACTCGATTTCATAATAATTACTTTTTCTAATGACGACCAATCGTTCTCAAAGTGCCCAGTGGGGGCGCGATTTCGGAATGGCGCTCAAAGCGAATACGTGTTGGTTTGAAAGCTTTCGTCACGTATTTTTCAGTAATGAAGTATTTCTGTGTTAAAATAGTTTTAAAATATGATTACGACGTGCATGAACATGATCGTAATAATGTCATCATCCGTATAGTAACACCAAAACAGGGGGGTTTAAGTATTTTTTCTTGAATTTGAGTAGTATTGAGAAAACTCAAAAAAACAAAAGATTGCATTTTTGTTCAAATTCAAGAAATAATACTTAAACCCCCTGTTTTGGCATTACTACAGGGATGATGACACTATTACGATCATGTTAATGCACGCCGAAACCATATTTTAAAACTATTTTAGCCTAGAAATACTTCATGACTGCAAAATACGTGATAAAATTAGGTGACGAAAGGTTCAAACCAACACGTGTTTTCACTACGTATTGATATGTATTGATACGTATTTTTGATACATACTTAAATACGTAACGAAACTACGTAAGTATTTTTAATTAGGAGCCAATGGCATTTATCAACTTGTTCTATCGAAAAAGTTGCGTTATAATTATTGTAATTTATAACTATAGACGGACAATTATTATGTTCAATTTTTGTATGTAAAAATGATGAAATGATAAATAAAAAAAGTGTATGTGACATCGTTGTTACATGGACATTTAGACACGTCGACTTAAATCGAGTACTTTAACTCTTTCTTTGATATTGGCTAAAAGAGACCACATAACTTTAAGTCAGTTTGTCCTTCGAAGCACTGATGTCTGTATACATAAACACTTGTAAATATAGTTTTTCAATTGATGTTGTTTTCCTTTTATTTCAACTATTTCATTATACGTATACTATACAGCATACTATTAGAGCTGACTTATGTATATTAATGCCAATGCACCTCTGCTAAGTATATTTATGAATGTGCAAAATAAATTAATGCGGTATAAGGTCCCCTTGCGATCAGTAAACTCAGTGCGTATGGCGTACTGTAGCAAAAAAAAAAAAAAAAATGGTGTCGCACTCGTATACATTCATCATGGTTTTAATCTGATGTGTATATATAGGGCGATCAATAATGAATGATTTCTTATTGATCGCCCTGTATATAAATATATATATACATGTCTTATCATATCTTATCTTGTCTTATTTTACTAATATATAAAGTAAAGCCGCAAAAACCGTTGTAATCGCTAACCACGAAAACTTCTCAACCGATATTGCTAAAATTTTCCACACTATCTTGAAAAAATTAATAACAATAGCAATAAATAAGCTCAAAGTTTTACAAAAATATGTTCTGTAGACAATACAGCTTTTCACTGTAGTTCAGTAGGATCATCCAGGTAGCGTGGAAGTAAAATCGAAGCTACCTGCAATAGAAGTAAGTGGGTCTGGTTATAATATTCAAGAGCGAATTGCTGTATACCACAGTGGTTTACGGTAGTGCATTAATAATGGCGTTATAAGTCGTGCAGCTAAGTATCCCGGCTACCGACAACACTCTTCTCCAGTAGACAAGCAACTAACGTCGAATTCCATCCCGAACAACCAAAACTAACGTTTTCCATGAATAAAAGGCGTTCTGAATGCCAACATCTTCAGCGTAATACCAGAAGACGTTTATCCAGAGCATAATCTGCTGTAATAACTTGGGGTTTCGACGGCGTTTTTTTAACCGACCTGGTGCTACCAAAGCAAATTTTGCTACAACAACTCGCCAGGAAAAACAATCCTGAGTATTTGGAAATTTCATCAGCCTCCTCCTTAGTGGTTCGTCCCAACGGAATACCTACAGAGAAGGTATTCTCCAGGTCCACTTCCCCGATCAACGGTGAACGGTTGTGAATGCGGGAACGACTATGAAGACAAGTTATTCTTTAGCCAGTGGCGTACCTCTCTTCAACACAATCTTCGTAGGCAGAGGTAGAGCCAGAGTGTTCAGGACAAGAGTCAAGCTACCTGCAGCCAGCTGTCTATGATTGAGAATAGTAATACAACTGTGGTTTTCCTTGCAACTAGTGTGGTGCTATAATAGCAGACCAGAAAAAATCATCTTGAGGTATCCAGGCAGTCACATTTGCTGGACACTTCAGTCAAGAAAGAGTTTAGCTCGCCAGTCCTTCTTAAAACTATCTGATGTCGAACTACCTTGTCAACAAATATTTTACAACTTAACAAAGTTGACAAAAGGCAGTCTTTAGGGCCCACAAAAATTTTCATCATGCCTATAGTCGTAAGAAGGCGAATTGAAGTAAAACTTTAAATGCTTAAATACAATTTTAGGCGTTATAAAAAAACGGACGCAGAAAATGTATAAAGATTGAAACAGCATAACGTGTCAACACACTACGTTGTCCATTCAGTGAGTCTCAGACGAAGCCGAGACGTGGGGCAGCTAGTATTTATGTATATAGAGGGAATCATGGAACATAATATGGTAAAATAATAAGTTTTTTATATAATGGGATTGCTTTGTAATTTTTAGGAAATATTTATTTGACTGAGGCGTCAAAATGATAAATCGACCTGTAGGTAAGGTCAAGAAAACTTTAATAGCTACACATATGATAATCGAGGAGTTTCTGGATACTTAAATTTAAAGATAGTAATCACAACTATACTGCACTTACATATATTTTAATTGTGATTGCATACGTTGATACTAAATGATCAATAATCATTCTTTTAAAAATTTGATTATTACTGTGTGTTGGCGTCAAGATACAGGCTTTAGTTATTAAGAACCATGATATTTTTTTTTTCAAATTACGCAATACGGTTTTTTCTACTAATTAAAACAAAAAAAAGTTTATTGCAAAAATTTAGAGAAGTGTTAAAGTATATTGACGATTTTTTCGAGGATTTTTTATCAATAACGAGCAAACAAATATCAAAAAAAGAAAAGTTGTGTTACTCACCTAGCTAGGTAAAATAAGAAATGTCTCAGATAACAGGCAATTGACGCCTAAGGCTTTAATTGAAATCTGTTAATTGACTGCGATTTGAAGGACTCTTTGTTTCTTCTCGATGATTAAGGTAGTACTAGCAATACTTCAGTGACAAATTGAATTTTCATGAAATTTGGTTCACTCATAGATGTTGATGTAAAAATGAATTAGTTAAAATTTTGTAAGCATTTACAGCATGGGGAAAAAGTTATCAACATTAATATTTTAGCATGTCGTTAAGGAGGTTTGGGAGTATCATTCAGAGAGGCGAGGAACGGAAAGTCCTCCCTGCCCGCGCATCTAGGCCCCCTTTACCACGCACCTCCTCTTGCACTCTACAAACTTAAAACTGTACGACTGTAACTGCTTATATTTTTGAAAAATGCCTGGCAAGGCTTGTTTTTTTTTTGTCGAGCATCTTCCTTTTGTACCAAGTTATCTACGGAAACGTTTTTTTTTATTCCAACACATTTAGAATATACCTTAATTTCAATTAAAAGGCAAACCTAAACTTGCTCTCTCATACGAGACCATGTTAAACTGTCAATATTTTATAATTTTTTTCTCAAAAATTTTCCCCTGGTGAAAAATCTGGAAATATTCATGTGCACTCCTAAAATTCTCAAATATAACATACATTTTTTTGGCATGTTTCCCCATTTTGAACTTTTCTCCCAAACCTCCTTAACATGAGACTTAATGGGGACCGACAGTCAAAACTCGATTTGTAAAGCACCAACTAATTGGATTTGAGGAAGGGGGCTGAAATAACGACAGTCCATTTCAATTTTAAAGTAAAATTATGAGTGTTTGACTGCTCAGTGCAACAACGGTTTATTATTTCCACAGCCAATCACGAGTCAGTTCACTTTGATTTTTCATTTATGCTGCTCTGTGATTGGCTATCGAAACAATGAATATTCGTTGCATTGGGCTGCCATTGTCGTCATAATAAACGCCGCTGGAATAAACATTCATAATTTAAAATTAAAGTAGATTGTCGATATTTTGGATCCCCCCTAAATTTTCGTAAAAAGATTTGTAGTAGTAGTTCTATATATCATCTCATATCATCTCACTAATCTCATTTTATCTCATCTCACTAATATATAAAGAAAAGTAGCTAAAACCGTTATAATCGCTAACTACGACAACTACTTAACCGATTTTAATGAAATTTTGCACTCTGATTCTTGACATCTTCCTAAATAGTCTTCGTATAGTTTTTTTTGGAAAAAATTAATAATCATAGCAATAAATAAGCTCAAGTTTTTCAAAAAACGCTAGTTTTTCACTTTAGTTCAGTAGGATCCGCTAGGTGATGTCGAAGTAAAATCGAAGTCACCTGAAATCGAAGTAAGTGAGTATGGTCATAACAATCCTGGACATGATGTCATATTCCATTGTCGTTCACTCGCAGTACTTGAAGAACGGAGCTTTTAGTAGCTTTTAGGCTAGAACATAACTAGCTCTAATGCTTAATGGCGTCGTGGTCGTTCTTTATTAGCATCTCACTGAAAGTATCATGGCTAACCCATTTCAGAGTCATCATAAATCTTTACGTTCAATAAACTACCATAAATCTCATCGGTAGTTTGTAGAGCCATCTAACA